GTATGCTTGACTGAGAATTGCTGAGTTGAAAATTTCATAGCATTTTATATCAAAATTCTATCTCACTGTTATTGACATCTTGGAATATGATGAGTTTTTATTATGATGATAAATAATGGTTAACTTTTTTCCATTAGAGAATTGAGACCTTCAGGACAATATTAGCATGATCTTTGTTCACAAGTTTCTCTGTAATTAATTCTCAATTAAATGATTAATAATTTCAATTGCTAGTTATCCAAGAAACATCATGCTTGCCTACACTTTTAGCATGATATAATCATTACATATGACTAGGGCTTTCTCCTTCACCAAATAAAATGTATGATGTTTACTTATCTGTACTTTAGCATGTAGGTAAAGTCACAGAATATACCACAGTGAGAAAACCAAATAGCTACTGTCTTCAAAGTGTCTCTTTGTAAGAGTCTGATATTTTCTGAGGTGTGACATTTCACCTTCTGCTTGTAAGTGATAACTTTAAGCAGTCACGGTACTTTTCTGTTTATGATTATATCATATTATTTGAAAAATATTTGAATAGGATTGTATAAAGGAAAACACAATTGCTACATCTTCAGAACAGATGAATATTAAACATTGGTTCCAAAAATGATTTAATGGAAAAAGCTAGTGTGATTTGGAATCATCTTCTAACTTTACTACTTCTTGGCAATATGACCTAGGGCAAATACATAGCATCTAAGATCTTGGTTTTCTTTTATAAACTGTGGATATTGAAGTCTGCTTCACAGGATTGTTTTAAATTATATAAAGTATTTAAAGTGTCTAACTTCAAAGAGCAGATATTCTGTAATTATTATTTCCTTTTTGTTCTTTGCTGTCACTTTGTGATCATTGATTTTTGTTTCTCTCCATCACTGGCTGGAGGTTTTCTTTCTTTTTTTTTTTTTTTTGAGTTAGAGTCTCACTCTCACCTAGACTGGAGTGCAGTGGCTGCTCCCGGCCACCGCAGCCTCAACCTGCTGGGCTCTGGCGATCCTTCCACCTCAGCCTTCCGAGTAGCCGGAATTGCAGGCATGTGCTACCACGCCTGGCTGATTTTTTCATTTATTGTAGAGATGAGGTCTCGCCAAGTTGCCCAGGTGGGTCTTGAACCCGTGGGCTCAGGCAATCCACTCACCTCAGCCTCCCAAAGGCGCAGGATTACAGGCTGAGCCACCGAGCCCAGCTATGGCTGGAGTTTTTCTTGCTAAGTGTTGGAGTATTACACAGGTGTTAATGAGAACACATGGCATTTTCTATTCAAAGTGCTATGTATCCTCATTCAGTTCCAAGAACATCCTCAGTGTGCCCAAGACCTCCAAATCTGTATCTTCACCCATGACTCTCCCCAGTAACTCTGGATTTGCATACCCAATTTTCTATTTGAAATCAATACTTAGATAACTAGCAGGCATTTTATTTATTAAACAAATGCTTATTAGGTAGCTACTGTAATTGTAGATGCTGAGGATATTTCAGAAGAAAAAATGGACAGAATTTCCTCTCAATATGTTTACATTCTAGAAATGGAGAATTACACAACAATCAAAATAAATAAAGCATATGTTATAATAGTAATAAATGCTATGAAGAAAAATAAAAGTGAGGAAATAGATATTTATTGTTGCATTACAAATTACTCTAAAACTTAGAGGCTTAGAACAACACATATTATTATCTCCCAGTCTCTGTGAGTCATAGATACAATTGTGGTTCAGCTGGGTGGTTCTGGCTCAGGATCTTTCACAATATTTTAGTTAAGACATTGATTCATGAAAATGCAAACATCCAGGTTAGGATACTATCACACATTAATAAGAAATGTTAAAATAAACTGACTGACAATGTCATGTGTTGGCAAGGATGTGGAATAATGGAAATTCTCATTCACTGTTGGTGGATGTTTACCTTTATGCAAACTATTTGAAAACAGTTTTAAGTTGTTTAGTCAAATTGAACATATTCATGTTCTTATACCTAGAAATACACTTTCAGAGATTCTACTCCAGGAAACCAGGGAACCTTTGAACCACAGCACTTGTACAAGAATGTCCAGAGCATTATGATATTCATATGTTCATTACAACAGAATAGGTAAGTATATTATGGCAGTTAGAAAGGTGAAGAGAGAAATGACACGTTTTCTTTTCTTTTTTTTTTTTGAGTTGGAGTCTCACTCTGTCACCCAGACTGGAGTGCAGTGGTTGCTCCCGGCCACCGCAGCCTCGGCCTGCTGGGCTCCGGCCATCCTTCTGCCCCAGCCTTCTAAGTAGCTGGAATTACAGGCATGCGCTACCATGCCCGGCTGATTTTTTGATTTATTGTAGAGATGAGGTCTCACTGCCTAGGCGGGTCTCGAACCCACGGGCTCAGGCAATCCACACACCTCAGCCTTCCAAAGGCGCGGGATTACAGGCTGAGCCACTGAACCTGGCTTGACACACTTTCTTGATGAGGTTTGGGAAAAAACTAAGGCATTAGTAGCTCAGACACCTTCTCTTTTCTTTCTTGTATGAGTGAGATATTGCAGGGAATATGTTAGTTTCTGCTCTGCTAGATGTAGGTACCCATGTGTGAGGTCTGTCCCAGTCTACAGTTAACTGTGCATGGATGGGCTAGTCCCATTCAAGATCTAAGAATAAGGAGGATCACTTGCTCACAAAAGAAGCTACATTCTCAAATTTCCACATTGCTAGTAACAACATCGGTGATTTGTATATGTATCTGCTGACTTCTGACCTTATTTTTTAATTAAATCTAAACCTTTGTGGGTTAAAACCCTTATTACTACCATACACAATCCCCCTGTCATGGTAATGAGTAAGACGGCCATGTCAACTCATTTAATGAGGTCTATATCCAGCTCCTAACTTATTCTGCTTCAGAATTTGAGTGGCATTATGGCTCTCTCTGTGGCTTAGCGGTTTAAAAGTAATTTCATCATCCCTATTGTTCTTCAGATTAGAACTAATGTAGGACTATTATGATCAACTGTATAGTTATGGACACATTTGGTAGTCGGTCCTCAGGATTTCTTGGCAGCAATGACAAACATGAAAAACAAAGGCAAAGCCAATGCAAGGATGTGTGCATGAGAAGCATAATACAGTTGTAAGGAATAATAACACAAAAGAAATGGAACAATACTAAAAAAACAGAAGCTGTTATATAAAAGTCTAGTAAATGTCTACCTCATGATATACCTTTACTATATAAAATAGAATAAAACTAGAACACCTCAATTTTAAAGAACCAAAGGGCATATTGTAACTATATATAAGTACAAGCCAGGTTAAAAAAAAGAATGTGTAGTACAATAAACACTCTAATAGACCCAATAAAATAATTATTGTTAATAATAAAAATGTTATTAGTAGTAATATTTGTAAGTGCTCTATGAATTTGGTAGCTGTTATTGCGAGTTATTAAGAACACTGATATCAAAGTGAGAAACAGAAGAGGGTTGTGAAAACCCAAAGAAAGAGTTAAGATCTATTTGTTTCTCTATAACTGTACCCTCCTTATTATTTCATCCTCCCTCTCGGCTGTTTGACTCTTTCATATCTACTTATTTACTGAAGAAACTTGTGGTCTCTGGATCTAGAACATTATTTTTTAAGAAACATACAATTGTAGTAAAAACAGATAAATAAAACAGAAAAAGAGAGGAGTCTTTCTGTGAAAGACTGAAATAAAGAAGTAGCTTAAGTTTAGTAATGGCTCTCAGTTCTCATTAGAGATCAACATCATATTTTACATTCAAAACGAAGAGAAGCTCAGCCAGTGTAGAGTTCAGGATGTCACCAGAAAAAGATGACTGAGTTGTCTTTCATGAGGCTTCTCAAGGTGCCATTTAACTTAACTTGGTGAATTTGTCAAGGTCCAGGGTATGATCTTTGGCTTTGCAGTCTCAGAAACCTGAACTACTTTTCAATTCAAGTGGAATCACAGTAACTAAGTTCACCAAACTCATGTATAAAATCAGAATGCTAATATATTGACTTAAAAATAAAAAGAAAACTTTTACATACATTAGCATTCTTTTATTGGTATTTCTAGAATGTGCTTTTCAAGCAGGCAAGTTAATGTCTGAGAAATGCTTCATAAGCACAGAAGCAGAACAAACTCACCATCATCTCCCACTTCCACTTTTTTAGTAAACTTTAAATCTGGGCTTATATACATGTTCACTCTTTTCTTCTTAATACGTTCACAAAGTGAAACCAGAGTGATCTTTTTTCAAAAATGCAAAACTGTACAGTTTTGCCTCTATGTAAAACTCTGCAGTTACTTGTCACTGTAGACAGAAAACCTAAACCCTTAATACTGCCTAAAAATCTCTGCATATTATGACCCTATTTGCATGAGAGAATTTAAATTGAGATACTTAAGCTTTACAATACTTTCAAGTATAAAAACATGATTATTCAGATTTCTGGAAAAATATTTTTGTTGTACTCTGAAACTATCCAAAACACTTTCTACCTTTCCTTGTAGAAAAATAATTGTTTTTATAATTTTTTAATAATGTAGGTTTATTTTTGGCAGAACAATTTATTTTGAAAATCAATTGGTACCAAAATGGGCATGATCACTCTCTCTTATTGACTTATTGAAACAGTTTGACCTTCATTCACAGGAGGTACCAGAGATCATATACTTATTTGTCCATAAATTTAATGTTTATTAAACACCCTATAAATATCAAGTACTATTTTAGATGTAGGAAAAAAAAAAAAAAAAACTAGGGGAGAGGATACATAGCCACAACTCAAGACGTCAGTGGGAAGATGCATACCTGGAGAAAGCCCCTGAGGCTACCCAGCTCTAGCAACTCTGCTCACATCATAAAGTGCAGGACTAGATCTAGTTACCCAGCAGATTGGTAAGGAAGAGAACACCAAGGATTCTGCCTGGAGACGAAGGGTCTGGCCCAGATTTATTCCTTATTAGTTTTTGATTATAAGATCGCTTTAATTTTTTGTTTCTAATACTTACTTTGTATGACCCATTTGCGCAGCTGCATGAATAGGTAACTGCCAATTGTCCTCATTACAGTAAAGATCAGGATCTGCCCCACTGGACAGCAAAAGCTCCACGCATTTTGTGTGACCCTCTTGAGCAGCAATGAACAAGGGAGTAGCTTTGTCCAGGGCTTGACAATTGACATTTGCACCTAATACAAAATAAAGCATTTAACAGATAATCCTCATTTAGGTTTAAAAAAAATTAACATAAATTTCAAAGCAACTGCCATAAAAGGGTTTCATAGTACAAAAGCTTTTCCCCATCGTTGGATGTTGTTGTATAAACATACTTATTTTGCTATCTTGTTGGTAATCATATAAATCATTTTTGCTTTTATGTTAGCAAGAAAACAAGTGGTTCATATTTTGGGATTCATTTTTAAGCTAAAACAAAAATCTTATTGAATGAAGGATTCATTTCATTCTAATCCCTTCTCTAATTTCTAGGCACTCTGTGGGTCCAATAAGAAAATGTTAAAAAAGGAAAAAATGCAAAACATCAGACATGGATAACATTTCTAATAATTACTAAAAAAGATAAAATCTAAATTATAAAACTTTATAGAGTCAGGCTAAGATTTATTTTAAAAATTACCAGTAAATACGACATAAATGGAAGCTATGTTTTCAAACTAGTATTGACTAAGCTCTTTATTACATCTCTTCTTTCATGACCATCATATGACAATTAAAGCCTATACGATAAAAGAAATTAAGTTTCTTTAAGTAGGTTTCTGAGTTCATTTTTAAAAATCATAAATATAAGCAAGTTATTTAGATACCAGTGTATAAAGACTTGAAAAGACCTCAGTTGAAAACAGCAAACATTTCCAAACTTTTCTTGTTGGTAAATAATGTATTAAATATGCTAAGTATGGCATTATTATATGACCATAAGAATTTTCAAATTTCTGGAATATATTGCAAAGATGTGGAATCAACCTAAATGCCCATCAACTGATCAGCGGATAATGAAAGTGTGATACACACACACACACACACACACACACACACACACACACACACACACCATGAAATACTATTCAGCCATGAAAAGGAATGAAATAATGTCTTTCACAGTAACTTAGATGGAATTGGAGACCATCATCCTAAGTGAAATAACACAGGAATGAAAAACCATCCTAAGTGATATAACACAGGAATGAAAAACCAAACACTGCATGTTCTCACTTATTAGTAGAACTAAACTAAGGAACTACAAAAGCATAGATAATGACATAGAGTTGGAAGGGAAATAAGGATGAAAAATCACCTATCGGGTGGAACGGACAGAGGTGGGGATAGAGGGTACATGCAAAGCCCAAACTTATTTGCTACTGGTGCATCCATGTGACCAAAAAGTATTTGTATCCCCTAAAACTACTGAATTTTTTTTTTTAATTCTGGAATATATTTCAGTGGACAAATCATCATCAAGTGGGAAAAGACTATCCTCTACTTAAAAGAATATTCCATAAATGCACCTTGAATAAACCATAAGTCCTCAGAAGGGTTAAAAACTATGCAAAATAGGCCCGGGTGTGGTGGCTCACATCTAATCCTAGCACTCTGGAAGGCTGAGGCAGAGATCACTTGAGGCTAGGAGTTTGAGACTAGCCTGGCAACATAGCGAGAGCCCACCCCCTGAAAAAAAAAAAAATATGCAAACCACAAATGGTAAGTTAAAGAGTCTATGGAATCGTCAGAAATTTCAAATGCTAGACAACTAGAATCTTCTTGATTTATATGGGGTAGATGCTTCACCTACTGTTAGCTTCAGAAAGAAATAAACACCATAACTGAAAAAGGACTAACTTCCTTTTTTTAGTCAATGCTTCATTTTGAGTGACAATGTCAAGATATCAGAAAGAATAAGGACAGTCCCTAAAAGAATACAAGTGGAAAAGCTGAAAAAACGACAAGCCAATTCACTGAAAGGAGACTAATTTATGGAGCTGGAAATATACATAGCTACATTATAAACATACCTACTTGTTATTGACTTGTTATGAACTTGCTATTCATAACAATTCAGAGAGGAGAGAAGGCGGGGGAAAGAACAAAGCAAAATGAAAGAGGAGCTTAGAGCTCCAGGTGACAGGAAACAGACTTAGCATGAAGAGAGGGCCATTAAGGTGTAGTTTAGCCTACTGTATTCTAAATATTAATTAAACACTAATAATTGGTACTTATGGGACTACAAGCCATAAACTGCATTAGGACAGTCCTCAAGAAGGTATGCTGTACTAGAAGAAAGATTAGAGGTCAGAAGGCCTGGATCCAAGCCCCGATTCTGCCAGGAAATAGTTTCTAGATCTTTGACAAAGCACTTAGACACTTGGGACCTAAGATTCTTACTCTAAAAAAAACACATGTTTGAATAAATGATTGAACTTGATTTAAGAGATACCCCTTAACTCTAAGATCTGTTGACTCATTATTTATAACTGACACTTAATGTATGTTTGTTTATTTTACTTCCTATTTTGACTTAAATGTTTGAAGGCTTGTAAGGAGAAAGCAGAAATAAGAAAACACATACTCAGATGTCTAAATAAACTTTATAATGTCTATCTGTAGGTAGCTTATAAAAAGTTCGGGTATGTTTTTTAAAATTGCCTGGCAGCAGGAAAATCTAGTAGTATTTTCCTTTCTTTGACAATCATGCTTCATCAGGTTAGCATTGTGTGAGCATACGGTGTTGGGAAAGAATTTAAAAGCCCCTACCTAAGAAATGTTTCTGGTCACAAAAATGTTACACAGAGTAACAATGCCACCTTAGCACCATCTTCTCTGGCTGAATGTATAATGGTGTCACGGGGAAACCTTTAGCAGGTTTATGTTGCTATTAACTTAACAAGGTATAAACATGCTTTGGAAAAAATCCATTTAAATAATCCCACAATTAACAAAACATACAACTCAAAGTCTTAATATACAGACTAACTATCTAATAAATTAAGCCTAAACTAGTCTTGAACCCTAGAAACTTTGAGTTGCTCAAGTCCCTATGAGAAAGAACAGATCCATAATTCAACTTGCCAATAAACCTGCTTTAGTGATAGATCATTATGTTCCTACTCAGATAAATTAGTAGCTATGCATTGCATTGTTAGTAATAGACACTTAATAACCAGGTTTACAAATCAGCTTGTATTTACTCTTATTTGCTACTTACATAAAGTCACATTTCATAACCCAATTTATTCTTGAGTCTAGAATTACTCTTCCTAGGAAGACACAAAGTGTATAGCTCATGATCTTAACACAGTGGAAAGGCTAATGGATTAATCTTACCCCATGAAATAAGTATGCTCAAGCTTTCTAGCTTGCCATACTGGGCAGCCACAAATAAAGGTGTGATTCCAAAGTCATCCTGGCATTCCTTGTTTGCTCCTTTTTTAAGAAGCAATTTTATGATCTCAGCATTTTCCTAAAGCACAGATTCATATTTTAAATAAGAAAAAACAAAGAAAATAGAAGGTATCTTTTTTTTTCATTGTTTTTTTTCTTTTTTAGCCTCTCACTAAAGGGCAACTTGAAGAAGAAAACAGACAAAACAGTGTACGTTATACTGGCTGGGGAAGACAGGGTCAAACAATCAGATTATCCTATATCTCTAGCCAGCCCATTAAACATAAACCCCAAACACGGATCTCTTGGAATTATAAACCTTTTAAGTTCCTGCAAAATTAGCTTGCTAACTCAAGTACCGAAGATCTACCACAATTTCTAAACACACTATTATAAATAAAATAAGCCATTGCTCTTTATCAAATTATATCCAAAATATTCTGGTTTCTTAACTATGCTATCAACATTTGAAAAACTTAGATAATCCCTACAGCCCAAAGCTACAGCTACTACAGCAGTTGGCTTATTCAGAATGATCATTAGCATTTAGACTGCCTTTTCTGTACTGCACTAACCATCATAAATCACAGGCAAGTAGGAAGCAAAAACTGTATAGAACTGTCATTTTAAAAGGGTAAAACACACAATTTACATGGAAATGAAATAATAAATTCAGAAGTTACCTGAAAAGAAGCCTGGTGCAAGGAGTTCCATCCACACATAGAATGGGATCCATTAACATTTGCTCCGTGTCGAAGCAACAGCCTTAGCACATCTATCTGTCCATTTTCAACAGCTGCAATACAGCAGTCAGAAAAATTATTGTCAGCAAAAAGGCATGTTTGTAGGACTGGACACTCTGGTGATGTGCTCATCATGTATTCACCTCAGAACTCACAATGCTGTGATTATTCCCAAACATAAACCACAAATGTCTTAGCCCAAACCCATTAACATATACCTAATTCTTTCTGTGCACATACAAAATTATTTTCAATGGTATGTTAAAAGACACAGAGTAACTGAAAGTGACAAGCAAATACTTATTATCTCTGATAATGAAGAAAATTTAGCCCTTGTCTATTAAAAGTAAAATTGGGAGAGGACAGGGTAGATGTTCAGAATAAACATACCAGCCCGGGAAAATAATCCCAAAAGGAATGAAAGGTTTGTTATCATTACCATTTGATCACAAGTAACAAAAGTCATTAACAAAATGAAAATGCAAGTTCTGCATCTTAGATATTTTTCACCAGTGTAAACAATGATCATGGTTAAAATAATATTCTTATATGCACCAATGAAAAAATAGTAAATCTTCCTGCATATGTGAACTAAAAGGGGACTCCAGATAATCTAAAGAGTGCTGTTAAAGAAACGCATTTTTGGATTGCCTGAGCCTGCGGGTTCGAGACCCACCTGGGCAGTGAGACACACACACACACACACACACACACACACACACTTCATTAGCAAATAAGGTATACTGTGAATGTTATAGGTGTAAGGCTACTGAATAAATTCTTTGAATTGTAAGTTTAAGAAATAGCAGTATCTATAAGAGAAGGAACTATGATGTGTATAAGAAGGTCTAGGGCTTCATGTGCTTGGATATAGAAAAGTAGATTAAGAAACAAGTAAGTTTTTTTTTTTATTTCAAACATACAATTATTCTGTATACTACAATAGGAGGCAAGAAGTGGGAATCAACAATTCTCAGTCACAAAATTAGAAAGGCACTAGACATGTGGATACTTAAAAATGCTAATATAAATGAAACAATAAGAAACAGAAAAAATCCCTCAAAGTGTAAAACAAGAAATAAGTATGCTCATTATTACTGAAAATGAGAAACATGCCACTGATATTCTGCTACTTTTGCATACTGAATTTATACCAAAGTTTGCTTCCCCCAAAAAGACTCTCAGAAGCCCTTTAATCAAAAATTATCTTACTCTAGAAGGTTTCAGAAATATAAACAATAGTTGATAGTATCACTGAGAAAGAGGTTTAACATATCTTATTTCCAAGTTAATGTTTCAGAGCATTTTACCAAAGAAAGAATAGTTTTTCAAGCTAAGTTATTTTTCTATAATTAATCTAAAGTCAATCTAATTAGAGGTAGAAGTTATGAGAGAAAAGAAAGACAATCTGTTTCATATCCAATTCATATATTGTCATCAGTGATTGCTGGCAAAACTCATTCTACAGCCAGACCCTGAGTTGAAGATTATCAGGTTGTCAGCAGTGATATAGGAAGCAAAGTGAAGATAAGTTTGTTTTCCATGAGTTAGGCTGACCTTATAAAAATGAAAGTCAAAAAAATTGTTTTATTAAATACAGAAGTCAAGAAAAAATTGTTTTCACTTTTAATATCATAGATACATTAAAATATCTGATTTCTCCAGCTCTACTGAAAACAATTCCCAATGGCAAAAGTAAAACCTACACATAAGCAGCTAGATAGTATTTTCACAGCCCTTGCTAATTATTTCAAAATAAAGCAAACTTAATGGTTGTCAAGTGAGAAATCATGGTTTAGAAAAGTGTATTTAGAGCTTAGATTTACTACCAAAGTCTCCATTTTGGAAGAGGAGCATTAACTTTATCAAATGGGGGTGAGGGAGGGGGGTGGGGGACCTGTAGCTGTACTGAATGGTTTACTTCCAAAAGGTAGTCATTACTTCCTACAGACACCCTTTCTCAATCCTACTGAAGGAAAAAAAAAAAACAAGTATAAGAGCATGTTTAGAAACTATCCAGCGTGTATACCTAACCCTTAACTGTACCCCACAATATCATAATAAAAAATATTGATTAAAAAAAAAAAGAAACTACCCAGCATCTAAAACAAACTATGCAATCTTTTCCAGGAGAGTCAACCACTCAAGAACCTGTAAACACTGAGTACTTCAGGAGTCCATGGGGACAGTGGGAATACAGATTGGGGTGGGGGAAAGATGGAGAAGGATACCAAGGTATTAAAAGGGTGCTTCAGCTTTGATGACTGTCTACATGTAGAGAGAAATGATAAATATGTCACAACAGCAAATTAACCCTAACTGAGTCAGTAATGTTAACTCAACAGTGATACTCTAAACTGTATTTTGTGTAGAAATTTAATTTACTAATTCTTTTTTTCCTAGCTCATGAGAAAAAGCAGGCTTCCTCCTTTTTGGAGTTTCATCTGTGTCCTAGTCCCAATTCTGTATCTTCTCCACTTCTGAGGTTGTTCCTTATATTGATTTTTCTCCAGTTTCCCTCAACAGCCCTTCTCTATTGGGTGTTACTATTCAAGTTGCAAACTAGTTTAGGTTTCCTTTCCACTAAAAATAAGAAAAATAAACAAAAAAAAAACCTTTCATGACTCCTGCTATCAATATGTTATTTTCTCTCCTTTTCTTTTTTTACCACTAAACTTCCTCAAAGACCACTCTTCTTGACAACATTCAATGACTCAATTTTCCCACAAATCACTCGTTTATGAATTCAACAAATGTTCTATGTACTGGCAATCCAGAAGTGAATGACAGACAAAGATTCCTGTCTCTGTGGACCTTACAAACACTCAGTCGATAATTATCATGCAAACTGTACTGCCATAATTCATTTGAAGCTACTCCCTTGACAATCATCATCAAATTCAATGGCCTTTCTTTAGCCTTCAATCTCCTATTCATCCTACTGCCTCTGACAAATTCTTCATATTTCTCTGATATCCACTTTCCTCTCAGAGTCAACTGCATTATTGTAGTGTTACACCTTTCTCAAACAACTCATTCTCTCTCCTTGGCTTACTTTGCTTTTTTTTTTTTGAGTTGGAGTCTCACCCTGTCGCCCGAACTGGAGTGCAGTGGCTGCTCCCATCCACCGCAGCCTCGACCTACTGGGCTCCGGCGATCCTTCCACCTTAGCCTTCCGAGTAGCCGGAATTACAGGCATGCACTACCACGCCCGGCTGATTTTTTTTTTATTGTAGAGATGAAGTCTCGCCTGCCCAGGCGGGTCTTGAACCCGCAGGGCTCAGGCAATCCACTCACCTCAGCCTCCCAAAGGCGTGGGATTACAGGCTGAGCCACTGAGCCCGGCTTCTCCTACCATTCTAAAAATGTTGTAATTCACCAAGATTTTGCTTTTAACACTTATTTTGTAATTCTTTATACGTTCTCCTTCAGTGAACTTGCTCAATTCTGAAACTTCAATTTTCATCTCTAGTGAATGATTCTTCCTAGTCTACTCTCTCTTTCATGGCCCAGAACCAAATTCTCAAATATCTGCCAAATATTTCCATCCAAGTATTCTATCAGCCCCTTAAAATAAACACATTTAACACAAAACTGAAAGGGAAAAAAATAAGTAAAATATGTACAAGATCTCTAACTAAAACTTACAAAATACTAGTGGGAAAAATAAAGATCTTTAAAAGCCGTAGAAGGATATACCATGTTCATGGATATAAAGATTCACTATTGTAAAAATATCAATTCTCCCCAAAACAATCTAAAGATTCAGTACAAATCCAATCAAGTTACCCAGGGGTGTTGTGGGTGTTGTTTTCATAATCGGGGAAAAAAAAATTTAAAAACCTGATTCATATATACAGGAATGCAAAGGGCCGAATACTGCCAAAATGTTGTGTAGAAAAAGAATGAACTCACGTGATCAGATATCAAAACCAATAAAGCTGAAGTAATTAAGGTATTATGGTATTGGCACAGAATAAAGAAAGAGACCAATAAAACAGAAAAGCAACTCCAGGAATAAATACCCTCCCCCCAACAAATGGTTACTTTTAGGACAAAGATAAGAACAGTGTTAGGACAATAACTATCCATATGGTAAAAAAATAAATCTTGACTTCTGTCTCACATGATATACAATAATCAATTCCAGATAGATTAGGGTCTAAGTATGAACAGCAAAGTTTCTAGAAGAAAACAGAAAGAGAAAAATCCATGACCTATTCTTGGGATAGAAAATAATTTTTAATCATTCTTAAAAGCAATTAATATAATGAAAATAGTAAAAAACTGAATCATGTCAGAATAAAGAACTCCTTAAATTAATAAAAAGATAAACCAGTTAATTTTAAAACATGGGAAAATCTGTATACGCACTTCAAAAAGAGATTATCCAAATGGCTAACACAATATATGAAAAAGTGCTGAACATCCTTTCATTCCCATTAAGAAAATGCAAATTAAAACCTCAATGAGCAACCACAACACCCACCAGAGTATCTAAAATGAAAAATACAGAATATCAAATACCTGGCAGGTTTGTAAAACGAGTGGAACTCTTATAACTTGGTGGTGGAATATAAATTAACAAAACCTGAAAAATTTTTGGCAGTGTCTTCTAACACTGACCACACATACACCTTATGATAGAAAATTCCACTTCTAGGTATAAATGTAGCAGAAAAACATACGTATACTCACCAAAAGAAATATCTCAGGCTGGGTGTGGTGGCTCAAACCTGTAATCCTAGTACTTTGGGAGGCCAAGGTGAAGGGATTGCCTGAGCCCACGGGTTCGAGATCAGCCTAGGTAACTTGGCAAGACCTCATCTCTACAATAAATCCAAAAATTAGCCAGGCGTAATGGCACACACCTGTAGTTCCGGGTACTTGGAAGAATCACCTGAGCCCAGCAGGTCGACGCTGGGGTGGCCGTGAGTATGCCACTGCACTCCAGCCTGGGTAATGGAGTGAGACTCCAACTCAAAAAAAAAAAAAAAAATAGCTCAGATGTTAGATTTAACAGATTAACTAAAGGAGTTATTACATATATGTT